TCTAAAATCTGATTACCTGGAGCTTTTACCTGTTAGTCCTACTTCTTCCCTCAGGAGCAAAACAGAGCAAGTCTACACAACAGACCTTCAGTTATTTGCAGCCTACATCACGTTTCTGATTGGTCTGCTCTTCTCAAGGGTAAATTTCCCTAGTTTTTTCAATCATACTTCATATTACCTGGTTTCCAGACCTGTTACCACCCTTTGGAATCATTCTGATCTTTCAGTGTCCTTAAACTGTAGCACTATAACGCTCCAAGTGGAGCTTGACCTGTGCTGTGGAATTGGCCACCCATGATATGTACACAAGAGCTTTCTTGGTTTGGCATAATAGTCATTAGCCTCTTCAGCAGCTGCATTACACTGCTTATACTCAATTTTAACTAAAACTCACGTCTCTATCCTGTAGAGTAAGAGAGAGAGAGTGTGTGTGTGGGTGTGTGTGCGCACACACACACCCTAAAGGAGGAATCTTACATTTATCTCTACTTAATTTTATCTTATGATTTGGGCCTTGTGTTCCAGATTGTATTCATTATGCTTCCTAGTTTTTGTCTTCTTCAAATTGAATAAATACCCTTTCTAAGTCACTGACAAAATTTCAGAGCTGAAAAATGGAATTCATAGGATTCAACACCTTCATTTTATAGATGAAGAAACTGAGACCTCAAAAAGACTAAGGACTTGCTTGACCAAAAAGCTCTTTACGACTCTACCAGAAACTTCCCACAAATAATTAGGCTTTCATTTTGATGGACAAAATCACCAATCCAAGTTGAAACTGATCTGATCAGTACACAAGAAAAAGGGAAATGGTCAAATTGGATGGATTTTGACCTGTGTTTCCCTGCCTCAAAAAGAAGTAATGTATGTTGGTCCTACACATTCTTCACTTAACCTGAAGTGACAAAGTGTATCAACATGGTGACGACAGTAGAGAATTTCATATATCGCTTGACATTTTATTGTTTTACTCAAGACTGTTGGATGTTTTCCTGAGTTACAATAGTTGCAAGAAGGGTACGGGAGGTGAAGTTCGAGATACCTTTTGGCTACTTCAGCCACATGGCAGGGGATGAATGTTATTTGGCCAGCTTCTTACTCCTTTTAACATTTATGGACCCCAGTTAAGAACCTGTGCTGAATTTAATTGTCAGGAGAGGAACTTACCACAGAAGCAATATCTGTATGGCACTGGACACTTCGGACCCTTGGGAACACACCAAATCTTCCTGGCCAGAACATAATTTAGGACAGATATCACTGGGTACTTCCCAGACCTAAATGTTGCACAGTGAATGAATGTCAAGGGTTAAGCAAAATGGATAAGACTAACTCTCTTGAGCAAACAGTTACAAGATGAGTTTCAGAGAGGGAAAGTTAAGCCCTTTTTAGGGCTGTTTCCCATTACTGATCAGTCTGAGGGCCAAGTCCATGCTGGGAGGGCAGCATGGAGACCCCTCAGACTAAATGAAGTAAAGATGCTCAATTCTGTGATCTGCTGTGGCTTCCTCAACTTAACACCAATGGCACTGATCCCACTGCATCAGCTTGCCATGGTCATTTTCTTGGCATCAGAACATTTTAAATTATTATTTTTTAAACTGAAGGAAATAGGACAATTTTACATTTTGTATACAGTAGTAGATTTTGAGGAAGCTCAGACCTCATTCACATGCTTTCTCTGGAATGCAGGGAAAATGAGGCACAAAGGGTTTAAATCTAGTGCTGCAAGCAATGTTCTGTGGAAAATATTTAACAAAGTAAAGGAAAAATACAATAAAATAGACATTTTAAAACTAAGTCAATTTGCACTCTTTGTCCTTAGCAGTTCAATATAGTCTTTTAATGGAAAAGTTCCAGCCTGAGCCACTAATCGGGCTAAGTCTTTCTTTTTTGGCAAAAAGAGTTCTCATTTTCTGGATTTCTCTCACTGGAAGCAGTATATGGGTCAGTGGTGTCTGCCAACACCCCTTCAGAAGCTTCTATATCTGTTAAGTCTTAGGCTCTGGAATTCCATTAAACACACTTCTTTACTTACACATTTTCTATGACTTTAGTAGAACTTCTCTCAGAGTTGCTGCAGTGAAAAGTTATTTACCTTTTGGCTGATCCCAAAGATGAGCTCCAAACTGTCTAAACTGGTCATCAGATAACAGTCCATCACTGGGACCATAAGCAAAGCCTTTCCTGCTAGAGATTGTACATAACTGGTATAGCCCTCGAGAACCCATGGGTCGCAATGCCATAACGACAAATTACAATGGGTCTTGAGAAGATTATTGAAAGCCTGTATTACAACTCCATTATAGAATCCTTCCAGTGGAAGGGATCTCAAAGGTCTAATATGCATATTTGACAGGAATCCTCTCCACAATATCCCTGACTGCATACTCCACTCTCTACTTGAAGACTTCCAGCTATACACAAGGAACTCACTACTTCCAGAAGCAAACTATTCCATTACTGGACAGCTCTGATGGCTGGGTAGTTTTTACTTATATCAAGCTTCATTTTACTTCTCTAAAACGTCCCCACTTCTGCCATCTAGAGTAGAATATATTGAATCCCTTTTCCATATACGATAGTCTTTCAAATATTTGTAGATAGCAATAATGGCCTCGTAAGTCTTTTCCATTTCCTGTGACTGATCCTTGTTTGTCTTGATTTCTAGTCCTCTTTCTGTGCTGGTTGTCTCCCTGAGGTATTTATTATTATGTCATTCCCAAAACACGAGCTCCCAGCACTGAGCACAGTATTTTAGATGTAAGCAAAGTGTGGCAGAACTATCCTCTTTATTCTGGACACCGCCTTCATTCATTAGATTTTAGGCATTCTGAAGATTAAATAACATTGATGACACAGAATGTTATTATATAAAAGATAACTAAATGCTATGCACATCACCATAGCAACAAGTCCTTATAGTTTGTATAGGAATGTTCACATCATATCAAGTAAACCATGAGGTTGTGGATTTGAAGTGGCGTTCTGCTGCTGCTGTTTACCATTTGTGTAACTTCAGATATGTAGGTCACAGGGATACTGGAGGCGAAATTGGAAGGAATGACAGACATCATCTGGTCCAGCTCCCTCACTTTACAAATGGCCAATGCCTTGTCCAAGTTTGGGGAGGTGAAGTGGGTGTGGTAAGTCACCCTCCAGCATTTAAGCCCAGGACCTCTCACTGCAAATCTAGGGGCTCTTTCTACCACTACCACCCTTCCCCCTCCTGTTTAGCCTTACACATCTCTGGGATTTGTTAATGTTAAACTGCTTTGCAAACCATAAAGCACAATGAAAATACAAAGCTATATTACTTCAGTAATAAAGCTTAAAACCTTAAAAAAGAGAAACTAATTATCAGGCAGCTAGGTGGAGTAGTGGACAGAGTGCCCAGGCCTGGAGTCGGGGAGACCTGAGTTCAAATCCAACCGCAGACGTTTAGACCCAGACTTCTGGGCAAGTCACTTAACCCTGCTTGCCTCATTTTTCTCATCTGTAAAATGAGCTGGAGAAGGAAATGGCAACTACTCCAGGATCTTTGCCAAGAAAACCCCAAATGGGTTGAAAGGGAAGAACTGGACCAACATCAACAACAGTTAAGGTTTGCTGACACTTTGAATGATTATCTTAAATCAAACTTCCCAATTCAATTTACTTTTCAATTAAGTCCCTAGAAGAAGACACGTAAAAAAGACTTTACAGTTTTTCTTGAACTTTTGAAAAGAGAAGATAGCCTGGATTTGGTGTGTGTTGGGGAGTAGGGGAAGGGGGAAATAAGGTGCTCAAATGGTAAAGTGATTATTAGCCCAGTGCCTGACACATAGTAGGCACTTAATGTTTAGTGGGTAATTAAATTAGCACTTGTGGTGGAGCAGGATCAGACAAAGCACTTAGATGTTAGAATTTATCAAAAATGTGCTGCAGACTTGTTTTCAAATTGTAGGAGCATAGACCCGGAAGTAAAGCAGATTTCTGGGACCTTCCCTTTAGTCCAGTCCCTTCTTTTGAAACCTTGAGGGTCTTCCCATCCCAGACTGATTTTTTTTTTTTGACTAGGTAAAGAAGCCATTCTCTGCATTTCTTACCTAACCTTAATCACTGAATGGGCGCTGCTTCAGTGAGATGGAAACCTGTTAAAGACCTTAGCTTAAAAAGGCCCTGGTGTCCAGTTACTTCTAGGGCCATTTCCAGTTGTCCTGACCTGGCTGCTGGACCCAGATGGCTCTGGAGGAGAGAGTGAGGCTGGTGACTTTGCACAGCCCTCCCTCACTGTAATCCAATTCATTTGCCTGTATCAACTCTCTGATGTCAAGGTCCTCTTTGAGAATGACGAGAATGAAGAACAAACAACAATCCCCTCCTTTGATGGGTGAGGAAACTGAAACCCAACAGCTTTTGTTTATGTTTAAACTGTTTATGTTGTTCCTACAGGTTTTCTAAATATTATGTAACTGAACTGATCTATTTTTGCATTCACAATCACTTCTATCTCCTTTAAAAAAATTCCCCTGCCTCGCCATAATGGTACAAGGTATCGCCTACTTCCCTATTTAAAATAAAATTGTGACCCTTTCTACATACGTGGAATTACCTTCAAGATGTTGGATTTAGCCCAATTTCTGACAATGTTGTTTCCAATTTTCCATAGTAGTTTTTGTGAAATGGAGAATTCTTACCCTAGTAGTTTGGGGTTTTTTAGGATTTACCAACCCCAGGAGTACTCTGTTCAATTGTTTCTGGGTCTTGCTTAACTATGTGATCGACTCTTCTATTTAACTAGCACCAAAGAGTTTTGATTATTATTCAAAGGTAGAGTAGCCAATTAACTCTACAAGGAAAATGTATTTGATCTAGCTTGTATATTAAGCCATTTTCATTATATTTTACTTAAGTGTGTTTTGTTTTGAAAGTAGATGAGAGATGATTCTCCATCATCTTGCTATGAAATGCTAAAAAAAGGGAAAAAAAGAAAAAACTTTGGCACACTCTTTTAGACTTGTTTTGACCATGAAGAGTTTTTTGTTTATTTTGCTAGTATGTTGTTTTTTTTTGTGGTTTCCAATGAGTCATTTCTTTAACTTCCTGTTTGAGCAAGTGCTTTGTAACAGGTCATTACAGCGTTTGTGTGTCCCGGTTTTCAAGTCCAAGACAAGTCCGTTTTTTAAATGTGTTTCCCCTTCTTGGGATGAGGGAGGTGTAGATTTCTTGGGTTCACGGTCTGAAACTCAAAGACACAACTAATTGGCCAATGCTTAAAGCCCAGAACTTGGGAGTCAAGAAGACCCGAGACCCAGTTGTGTGATAGGATCCTGGTAGACTGGGCAAGTCACGCTGGGCCTCAGTTTCCTCCTCTGTAAAACGAGGATCACTATCACCCACCTCCCAGGGTTGTTGTGAGAAACAAATGAGATCATATTTGTAAAGCGCTTTGGAAACACAAAGCAACCTTGGAACTCATCTAGCAAAATTTAAAATTAGTTTTGCAAGACTTCCTGGTTGTCCAGTGCGATACTGCTGGATTTTTCAATGGGTGGGGGAGGAGCCAGACGAAAGGAGGGAATTTGGAACTTAAAATTTAAAAAAAACTGAATGTTTAAAAAAAAGAGTCCCTCAATTTTAGGTATGAAGTAACAGAGACCCCAGAAGGGTGTGCGACCCCAAGGTCAAAGGCTGTTTCTGGTGCAGTTAACTCCTCCAGGAAGCCCCGGCCACGACAGCCTTCTTCGGCCGCTGCTTTGGCTCTCTCTGCCTCCGCAGCTCGGAAAGGTGAGGGTCCCCGGGGACAAGCCGAGGCCACCAACCGGCAGGGGGATCAGCTCCAACCAGAAGCGAAGTCGTAAGGCCCACTCCCACCGCTACAACCACCGGCCTTCAACCGCCCATGACCTTTGACCTCAGGACGAGCGACGTCCGGTCAGGTGCCCTCTGTTGTTAGCAATGGAGGGTCAACATCCGGGCGTCTCGTAACCGACAACAGCCTCCGAGGTAGAATGGGGCTCCGCCCCTCGAGCAACCGCCCGCGCTGGTCACCGAAGCCCCTCCCCAGCCCGGTGCTGATTGGACGATTTTGCGAGCGCGGGCCCGCGATTGGTAAGAGATGTCACAAAGGGGGTAGGTGGGAGCGGGGAGTGGGCTGGAGAGTTGGCCGGGCCAGTCCCCCCGCTCCGGCTCGGCTCCGGGAGCGAAACCGAGAGCTGAGTGTCCGAGGGGCTGCCTCCGCCGGGGGGCCGGGCTGGATGGGGCCGGCGACTAAGCCCGGGGAGCAGGTGGCCCCAGGCTGTCTCGCCGCCTCTTACTTCTGAGGAGGAGACGAGTCCTGGGCGCCGCGGCGGGTCTGCTCAGGTGAGCGCTCCTTCCTCCTCCCCCTCCCCCTCCGCCCTGGTTCGGCTCCGTCCTCCCCGGTTCGGCTCCGTCCTCCCCGGGGCGCCCCGCCCCCGCCCCTCGGCCAGCCAGGCACTGCCCGCGGCGAGCGAAGGAGCACGCTCACCTCCTGCCGCCGCCAGCCCCCGCCGCGCATGCGTAAGACGAGCCCCGCCCCCGAGCCCTCCCGCTGAGCTCCTCGCTGCCGCCTCTGCCTACCCCATTCTACCCATTGGCCAACTGAGGCCGTACGGGGCCGATATTTGAACCCGGGTGCCAGTCCAACATCGTCTCCCAGGCAGGAACTCCTGCGCTCGTCATTTGACGGTTATAGCGGGGAAACTGAGGCTCGCACGGCCGTGTGGACCTTAAAATTTGGTTAAAAGAGGCAAACAAGTTAGGCGATGTACATTCATATTGCTTATTCCCTCGAACTAGCGGAGTTCACGTGCCTGGAGTCCAATTCTGACTGACAGGCAGGATGAGACCTTTTGCCCATTTAGAACAGTCCCGACCCAGGACGCCTGTGTCACTCAAAGATTCGTCTCCGTTTGGTTAAGCAGAGCGTGAGAAAGGACTCTGCTTCATGGAATAGGTTGCACATACAGTAAGGGAGCGTCAGTGTCAGTTGAAGTTACAGGCCCTACATTGCATCTGTCCATAACGTGCCCAGGTAAGAAAAGCCCCACCATTCCGGGCAGTCCGGCCCTCAGGGTCGCAAACAGAAGTCGCAGGCGCAGGAGGGGGCCGCTTCAGATGATCTGAAATGATGGTCACCCGCAGTTGCTTTCCAGCAGCCTCTCCTTGAGTCGGTGGTATCGCGTCCCTGCCCAGGCTCAGCCCCCGCAGGCTCCACGAGTAAGCCCAGGTCTTCAGGGCCTGCCCTGTGCGCTCCCCAAACCAAGCACACTCCCTCCCGGCCCCCGCTTATGCTCTGTGCCCCTTCCCCGAGGGGAAGGTAAGCCCCCTGAGGGCAAGGCAGCTCGGCCCATTCCCCCCCCCGCCGCCGCCGCCGCCACCGTAGTGGGGACTAGCTGCCCCATTTCCCGAGAGGGCTCCTGGGGAGCATCAGGCCGGCGCTCTTTCCACCTCTTTGGACTTCCTGCCCTCGGGCACTTCCACTCTGTCGCGTTCCTAGCAAGTTTCTGGGGAACCTTAGGGATTTGAGATTTTGCTGGAGCCCTCCTCCTTAACCGGTATCTGCTTCCCCCGCCCCTTCTGGAGTACAGGGCTCTTGAGGGTACTCAAGGCTCTCACTGCGCCCCAATCACCCGTGTCTAGAGCAGTGATGGCTTTGCTTGCAGCGGTGCGGGGCGCACCCGCTGTGGAGACGCCCTCCAGAGAGATTAAGGTCGGTGCATTCCCTGCACACAGAGCCCCAGCTGGTGCATTCTGATGCTTCTCTAGCCTTGCACTTAGTAGGCACTTAATAAGGATCTGTTGAGTAATTGGGAGCTGGAAAGGACTCTGGAGGGGATCTAGCTCAGCTCCCTCTTTTTACCTAGAAGGCCACCAATGCCTCTAGAAAGGAGGTGATCTGCCTGGTGACTCAGAGCCAGCTGCCCTGGACTTTCTTTGTCGGGAAGGTACAAGAGGATGGCCAGGATGGCCTGGATGCCTGGGCTCCTTTACCTGCTTCTTCGATGTACGGCATCTGAGCGGGTAAAGCAAACTATAACACTCCGTTTTCTAGGGCGTTAGGGTTCCAACCCTGTGGGGTACGTGGTGCAGTTATCCCCCATTTTACAAATGAGGAAATCCCTCCCCCCCCCCAGGTCCTACAGCTAGCGCATATCGGAGCTGGGATTCAAACCAGCTCTGATTCTGAATGCAACCCTCTTTCTGTTATGGCAGGCTTGTTCTGTCTATCCCCAGTGCCTAGCACAAAGCTTTCCTTGCTCTTAGGAGACGCTGAATGTGCAATTTGAATGATCTCACCCCTGTTCTCTAGCAGTTCTACTGTGACTTAACGGGTTTGCTCTGGGCTTTACGAAGGGCTTCATTGGCTTCTTTATAAAGAAAATGAGACTGAAAGTAGTCCTGAATAAGAGGAATAAAAACCACCTCCTCCTGAGGATTTCCAGTCCAGCAGGGATATTTTAAACTAACTGTAAAATGTCCAGTTTGGAGATTTGGAGAACTTAGGGTTCTCCTGAGATCTTTAAAGGTAGCAAGGAAAAGTCCAGTTAGTAAGCTGAAACAGTGGCGACCAGGAGAAGTTCTTCCAGTATTCAGATGAAAATCGTTAACAGAAAAAGTTGATGTGGAGGGATAATGGTTGGTTACTTTCCATCCTGCTGAAATGTTGACTTAAGACTTAGAAGGACACCCAGAGACCGTATGATTCCAAAACTCTCCCTTTCCAGAAGAGGAAACTGAGGCCTATTCAGGACCTACCGGAAGTGGGATTTGAAACAGCTCCATCCTCCCAGCTCCACACCCAAGTTCTTTCCACTGTACCTGGCTGTCTTATTTTACTGGTTCTGATTATTGTTTTGACAGTTAGAATGGGGAAAGGTGAGAAAATTTTCTTTGGGAGTATTTACAGATAAGGTAGATTCTGACTTTTTTTAGTTGGAGATGGAGAAAAGTAATGAATAGTTACTAAAGTGTGTAATTCTGTGATACCAGTGTGCTTGATATCCATTTTCATTCAGGTTCTCCTACGGCTGAGTCTCGTTTTCCCCATCTGAAAGATGCAGCTGTTAATAGCTGTAGGAGCTATTAACAAGGTTATTGGGAGCTTCTGGACTTTGCAGATTTTAAAATGGTCCATGTTGTCTGTTGTAATTAATTATTATTACCTCCATTTTACAAATGAGGCACCTGAAGGTCTAGGCTTGTGGCCTGTGCATTGCCCCAAGCTTATGGGTTTCACAGCCAGGATCTGAATCCAGATGTCTCCTGACATGTCCGATGAGTGCTCATAGGGGTGACTAGATGGCACAGTGGATAGTCCTCTGGGCCAGAAGTCAAATTTGGTCTGGGCAAGTCACATCACCCTCTTTTCCTCAGTTTCCTCATCTGTAAAAGTGGGCTGGAGAAGAAAATGGCAAACCTCTCCAGTATCTTTGCCAAGAAAACTCCAAGTGGTGTCTTGAAGAGTCTGAAACGACTGAACAACAACAGTGCCCATAAATTATTTAAGTGTAGGTAAAGCCTCTAAATATGAAGAGATGTTCCACAATACACGTTTACTGAAAGAGCCAAACAAGTAAATACAAATTCTGAAAGAATTTAGTGGCGAGAGAATACATTCTTGGCTAACGGGATCAGAGAAAGTTTCACAAACTAGTGAGACATGTTGAATAGGTGGAATTCGTACAACCAATGAAGAGGCCGAAGGGCTTTTCAGACAGTGAATGACGTAGGGTTGGGTTCACTTCCAGTTTGTTAGAAATGGTTGCCAGGCTTCTAGATCAGTCTGAAAGAACCTGTTTTACCAAGTAGTACTATAGCCCCAGTCACCATTTATAACCTTGCTTCCATGAAAAAAATATGTTTTTCTCCCCCTTGGGGCTGGGGTCATGGGTTCTGTCAGGGCCATCAGCTGCTTGAGCCTCACAGGAACTCTGCCCTTCTGGGTCATTTTGCTGATTTTGCTATAATAAAATGTTCAAATTTAAATTTTTGAGGTTGGGGGGATATAGAACTCTTAAGTATTCAAGCTCCATTTATAAACAGTTTGGTGCTTTGGGGTTCTAGTCAGCTTTGGGATTATTTAGGCCCGTGGCTTCTCTCTCCCCTTTCCTTATTTTATGTTTTGTTTAGCTGTTACAGTCATCCCAGTCCTCAAGTGAGTATGATTGGTCCCTCTGGATTTGCTAGGAAAAATAATTCGGAGACCAAGACAATTGAGGTAATCATTGGTTTATTGCTGCTACACATTACCCAAGCTAGGGGAGGTCTGCCTGTTACACTCATTGGTCCTGACCTCCAACAGAATCTCCTGTTAAATGTTCTTTCCATAACTCTCCCAAAGCCCGTGATGAATGTAGGGAATCCGAGCCAAGTTGTTGCCATGCATCATGGATAGCTCAGAGTACTTGGATGTCAAGCTACCCTAGGGATCAGGTCACCAGGTAATCGTTAAGGAGGAAGTTGGTAACTTGAGCCACATCTTCCTTCTTTAAGAAGTTTTTTAAAGTTCAAGTTTAGGTAAAGAAAGCTTTTCACTTTCTTTATGCAGTTTTCAGTTGCTGAGTCATGCATTATTACCTGGATAGGAGGAAGCTGGTAATATACAGACAGACTTCCTGCATAAATGTAACCAGCTATTTTTCATTAAATTTTCTGTCCACCAAACCTTCCCAACAGATGCTTCTGTCAGAGGGCACGAAGGATAAACAACAAACCTTGAGTTGTTTATTTCAAGTAATTATCTGAAACCTGGAAGTTGCTTCAGCCAGGCATCTGCCTTGTACAGCGCGGCCTGCAGAATGCAAACACCCCTTGGAAAGGCTTGTTTTTCCTCAGCTTGCTTTCTACTTGGCCGCTCTCCTCCGTTGTCCTTTGTGACTGCGCCCCCTTTTGCTCACCACTTTCTGCATCTGTCTTATGAAACTTCCTCTCTAGTACTGCTCATGGGAGTGTTCCCAGGCACTTTTGCATTTCTTTCACTGCTCTGCCTCTTTTTGTTCTTCACCCTCCTTCTGTTCTTCCAGCCCCTGCCCATCTGATGTGTGTTTTCACTACCAGAGAGTCAGTGTAACCAACCTTGATTTAGTGCCCACCATGTGCACAATTAAGTATTGAGGGGGTTATAGAGAAGTGAGAGCTTGAGGCCATCAAGAGCAGATGAAATAAATACATGCATAAGTAACTGGAATACTTATTAGAGCACACGAAATATATAAGAAGGTTACCGAAGGCTGTGAGAGCCAAGGAAAAGAGAGAGAGCACTTCTGGCCTGGGGACCCACGAAGGCTTTTGATTTCACCTTGAAAGCTGGCTTGGTTTACAGCAGGCAGAGATGAGAGGGGGAGGGAGTTAGAGGAGTAATAGGAGCATAAACATGGAAACAAGAATGTGTAGGATGTTAACAAAGAGGCAGCAAGTAATTTTGGTATGCTTCTAACTGGAATACTTGCTTAGGAAAGACAAAAAGTATACTAATGACCCTGAGTAATACATCTTTCTATTGAATGAGACCCAGGTGGATGTTTAGGAACAGGGAGATGGATTAGAGAAACCAAGTTTCATGGTGATCAGGCAGGACATCTCTGAAAACCCCATTATTTTGTTCCTTTAAAGAGTCCTTCTCCCCCCCCCCAATTTGGTTGATCAGAAGTCTGGGTTGTATGTCTTTTAGTAGCACAAAAAAAAGACCAAGCTTTGCCCAAAATAAAAATGAAATTAAAAGAGACTAGACCCGGCAAAACTCTACAGGCTCATACTGTAATTCCTAGACCAGAACTTATCAAGACACAATCCACAGTGTTCCTGTTTTCCTTGCTAAGTTGTAATCCTTAATAATACTTCTCTAATGGTGTTATGTCTACTTAACAAATTGGCATATTCCGAAAAGAAACAAATATACTTTTGTTTTCAGAATGACTTGTGAACACTTGAGTCATTGGGTACAATTGATCTCATTTTCCCAAGATTATTAAAGCACACATCCATGGTAGAAATAACCCTAATGATGCTGATAGAGTAAAGGTTCTTAGGCTGGGCCTATGAACATTTTTTTCAATATTTTGATAGCCATGATTCCATATGATTTCTTTTTTTTGCTTTCTGGTGAGGTAATTGGGGTTAAGTGACTTGCCCAGGGTCATACAACTAGTAAGTGTCAAGTGTCCGGGGCCATCCATATGATTTTTTAAAGTAATCCTAAGTATTTTATCGTATGCATTTTAAAATACAGTAACATTCCCAGAAGAGGTCTGTGAGCTTCACCAGATAGCCAAAGGTGCCGAAGGTCCATGATACAAAAAGAGGTTGAGAATCCTTGTGATAAAGGACGTTGGCATAGATTTAAACTTAGAGATGAATCTCACTAGCAGTAATTCAGTTTGTCTGGACCATGGAGCATAAAGTAAGGAGTGAAAGTGAAAGGGCTGGAGCAGAGTGGGACCACGTTGGACGGCCTATATAGGACTGTGTTTGGGCTTTTTAAATTTTGAGCCTGATGACATCAACAGAACTGTTCATTCAGAAGATTGATGTGGCAGTACTATAGAAAGGTTTGAACTGGGCGATCTCATTGGCAGATCTCATTTTTTTGTATTTGTATCATTAGTGCTTGGCACATCGTAAGTGCTTAATTAATGCTCATTCATTAAAGACAGCTAGGTGTTGCAGTAGATAGAGTGCTGATTCTAGAATCAGGAATACCTGAGTTCAAATCTAGCCTCAGAGATTTCTTAGCTTTGTGACCCTGAGCAAGTCACTTAACTGCTGGCTGCCTCAAGTTTCCTTTTTTTTTTTCCAGCCAGAGGAAAAGTTTATTAGTGATAAAACAGTTAGGGTCAGGTGATGCCTGTAAAGACGAGCGGGCATGAGAGTGCCTCAGTTTCCTTAACATAAAAAGGGGATATATCAATATCATAGCACCTACCTCCCAAGGTTGTTGTGAGGATAAAATGAGATAATATTCGCAAAGCACTTACCACAGTGTAGTAGTAGGCAGTTACTAAATGTTTCCTTCTAGTCCTTCCTTCACTGTGTGATTGTATTAGATTTTAGGCTCCTTAACGGTAGGCATTTTTGTTTTAAATCTTTGTTTCTCCAGCGTCTAGCAATGGTGTCTTGCATATAATATGCTTTCAATAAATTGCTTCTAAAATATGCGGGTTGGCCATCTGATCCACTAGATAATTAAAAACCTTTAACATATCCAAGAAAGGGTCACCTGGCCTTTGCTTGAAGGCCTCAGTCAAGGGGCCTGTTACCTCTTGAGGCAATTCTTCCTACTTTGGAGCCTGCTGGTGCCTCTCAAGGTAGCCCATCATACTTTGGACCCCTCCTTTGAAGCATTTCCTCACATCCAGCCTTATTTTCTTCATTGAACCTTCTTTCATGCTCCTAGTTCTGCCCTCTGAGGCCAGAAAGAATAAATTAATCCCCATACACATCAGCCCTGCAAATATTTGAAGACAGCTACCATATTCCCCATCAAGCCTTCTCTTATACAGATTAAACATGCTTTATTTCTTTAAGGGATCCTCCTATGACAGGGGTAGGGGACCTTTGGTCCTCTAGGTCCTCAAGTGCCAGTCAAAGGGCCACACTTGAGGACCTGGAGGGCCTCTTGTGGCCTCAAGGCCACAGGTTCCCCACCCCTGTCCTATGGTATAATACTCTGTTCTTTTCCCTTGGCCTTCCTGAGATGTGCTGTCTGGAATAGAACACAGGGTGACTGAAGCTGACTGCAGAGAGTGGTATTGGCTTGCACAGGATTCAGAAAGCCAGAGGAGGAGCCCGTTCTAAGGGAAAATGTTGACTTCAAACATTCTTTTAGTAACACGGCTGTAGTTGTACCTCCCCTTAATGCAGCTGCTTCTGCTTGGGGTTAGTTACTCTCCACGACCTCTTCTCTGCCTTCTTGTCAGTGCACTGATGCCTCTTCGTTCTTGACGTACATGAGTACTTGCTCCTTTATTATTTCATTGGTTAAGGCCCCCTCATCATGGCTGCTGTAGTGCAGCCTAGGTAACTCTATTGGGACCAGTGCTCTTCTCCCGCTGGACCCATTTCATTGGTGAGTTCTTCCATTCCTGGATTTTTTCCTACTACTTAGAGATTACAGATTTCTTTGGTGTCCTTCCTTTTCTGTGGCAGATTACTGGTTGTGGTCATTGTATCTAGAATTTAATATCCTGCCGAAAAGCTTAAAGCAGTATGGTAACAATACATCTTCCCCTTCCCACTTCCTGAGGAAAGGGGCATGAGGGTTTTAGAGCTGGAACATTCTCATTTTACAGATGTAGAATAGGCCCAGCAAGGTTAGTGACCTGCCAAAGGTCCCCTAGGTCCTAACAGCAGGACCGGGATTCAGGTGCGGGTGTTCTGACTCCAAATCCTGCACTCTTCCCACTAGATCCTACTCTTCCATTTTAGCAGATGAAGAAACTGCAGCTGTGAAGAGACTTGCAGAGCCGTTGTCTTGATTCCTGTCTTGAAGGTCGACCTTGAAACCTAATGTTCTCTCCCTCACATGGTGCTAATTCCAGTGCGCCTCTGTGCCCCCCAAATCCTGATCATGGAAGGCCTGGATTTTGAGAACCTTGTTGACTTCCTTAAACTCCAGCCCCCTCAGTTTTGGATTAAAAAAAGCCATCCAGTTTGTGAACACTCGGCTTAGAAATGACTCGGGCACACGGATAACCTGCAGCCTGTCCTGCTGCTGCACAGCCCTAGCTGGCTCTCTGGTTTCCCAGGGTTCTCGCCCGTTCTGTGAGCCTCTCTGTAGTTCTCTCTCTGCCTCCTGTCCACAGTATCCAGAGAAACCAGGGCTCCTATTCTTGTGTGGTTCTGGAAACCAGCCTACTCATCATTTCTGCTGAAAGGTCCATTCTGCATGTAAAGTGGTACAGCCAGTGGGTTTGGGGATGTCCAAAAAGTGAATGTAAGCCAGAGGCTCAGGCGCGCTGGCAGGAGGGGCTTGGCTTGAGATAGGCCTGATGCCATTGTTCTTATGTTTTAGGTGCAGCACTCAAAACATGACCAGCAAGATACATAGCCAGTGTTCAGAGCTAATTTGGCTAGAACTGGAATACAGCTGTCTACAGCATATCCACAAGGAATCGGAAAAGTCAATCTGATGGCTAACAAGAAGGAACCTCCATTCTTTAATGAAGATAACGTGGGACCATTTTGCTACAAACTTCCTTTCTACGAGACTATGGAGCTCTTCATTGAGACACTGACGGGGACATGCTTTGAGTTGAGGGTTTCACCTTTTGAAACTGTCATCTCTGTGAAAGCTAAAATTCAAAGATTAGAAGGTAGTTGTATTCTCAATTCTTATTACTAAGAGTGATGGAAATTCATTTCCTGCCGTCAGTTAGGTTAATGCTTTTGACGTGTAGTGGTGTAGGTGGATGGGGTAGTGGAAGATTCCAGAGGGGAGGCTCCTTCTACCAACACAGGTCAGCAGATTTTCTGTAAGTTAGAGAGGCAGAGTTGCCTGGGGCCCAGAGTTTTGGGGTCTCAGGGACGCAACTTGGAGCCAGGTGTTCCTTGCTGCAAGGCCATTCTGTCTGACCTCTCTGCCTTTCATCTCTGAAATTACCCCATAATAAAGAATTTATTTCCTCATCTTATTACTCCATAATAAATATCTTGGTTTTGATTTTTTTTTAATGTATTGCTTTGACACCCAGTCCAGTTGTTGGGTCATTTTTAATGCGGATATGTTGTGGCTTTCTGAAACTTTTTGCCAAAATTCTATTGCCATTTACAAATGCTGATTTTTACATTTTATGTGCTTGGTACTGTCATTAGGCCCTGACTTTCTCCTCTCCCTTCCTCTGCCCCCAGTTTCTAGCATTTATATTCGCCTTTTAAGTTCCTGAAACATTTCTCTTGATTCTACGTGCTACTGAAAGGGACATAAGAATCCATGATTTTTCCATCAGCTTCGTCAGTGGCCTCCTTGGTTCTCTCCTTCAGTGTGTGTGCAGCTGGCTCTGCTCCAGAGTGGAGGAGTAATGGAGTCTCCCTCCAGCTCTGTTAGAGGTCAGGGGCTCACAGGAAAGGAACTTTAGTCACCTTTTCCCATGAGAACTCTGACACCTGAGCAGAGAAGGGTAGGGGGAATCTGGGCTTCCTCTAGGCGATAGAATCTGCTGCTAGTTGCAACTTTCTTTTTGTTTAACTGTCAAGATCTAATGGCATAATTCTATAATGATCCCATTTTGCTTTTAGCCTGTGATGAACTTAATGATCTAGGTAATCTGTCTACTCAGGAGGGTGTGCTTTTTTAGACATTTTTGTTGAATACGCACTTGTAAATTCACAGCTAGGTTTAGAGGATTCAGAATTGGACGGTATGTCCTTCAAGATTCAGCTTACATCAGGGCAGCTAGGTGGCAAAGTGGATAGAGCGCCAGCTCTGGAGTCAGGAGGACCTGAGTTCGGATCTGACCTCTGACACTTACTAGTTATGTGACCCTGAGCAAGTCACTTAATCCTGATTGCCTTCAAAAAAGAAAAAAAAAAGATTCCACTTACATTTTACTTTCTGCTTTTCCTTTTCCTTGCCTCCACTTTACCCCATATACATATCTTGTATGTATGTACATAGCTGTGTGTGCATGTTGTCTCTCCCACTTCTTCCCCCATTTGCTAAGCCCCTTGAGGGCAGGGACTGTGTGTATATGCCTTTCTTTGTGTTCCCAGTGATTGCCACAGTGTCTGGCATGTAGCAAGCCTTTAAGTAACTCTTGTTGACGGTGGGAAAGCCATTTGTACCACTTATCTCCACTTCCTCTCCTCTTACACTCTTTTTAACTTTATGAGACTGTGCTCTCAAACTTACCATTGATATCTTAATTGCCTTTTCTAAGTCTTCATCTGTCTTGTCCTCCAAAGCATTTGACACTATTGATCACCTGACTTGGATCCTCTCTCCTCTCTGGGTTTCTCTCCTTGTTCTGCCTGTCAGACCACTCCTTTTCAGTGTCCTTTTCTAGATCTTCAGTTATGTGATGCCCACTAGCCATGGGTGTGCCCCAGCATGCTGTCCTAGGCTCTCTTTTCTTTAGTCTATGCTGTCTGATCTGGTGATCTCATCAGCTCCCATGCTTTCACTTATCTGTGCACATAATTCCCAGAGGTATTGATCCAGCCCCTAGATTCTGTGCTGTGTTCCAGTACCACATCACTTCCTGCCTTTTAGAATCTGGAATTTTGTGTCCCTTAGACAGCTGAAGCTCACATGTTCAGAGTGGGTAGAAGTCATTGTCTTTCCCTCCAAACCCACCCTTTCCTGAACTCTTCTTATTGTTGAGGACACTTCCATCCTCTCAGTCACCCAGGTTTACAGTATCAGAGTCATCCTCAATGCCTGACTCTAACTCATTCCCATATATAATAATAGCTAGCATTTATATAGTGTTTTAAGGTTTGCAAAGTACTTTACAGATATCTCATTTTATCCTCATAGCTACCCTGGGAGGCAAGTACTATTATTATCCCCATTTTACAGATGAAGAAAGTGAAGCTGACGGAGGTTAAATGCCAAATCTTGTCATGTCTGCCTACACTATCTCTCTCATATGTCTCCCCTTCATTTACATAGACATTTCAGGCCCTCTTCACCTCTTGCTTAGACTGTTGCCATTGGCTTCTAATTCCTTTCCCTGCCTCACATCTCTTCCTAACCCAGTCCATTAATAAATGATTGTTTCCTTTCTTCCTTCTGTCCTTTCTGTCCTTCCTTCCATTTATCCATCCATCCATCTTCCATCACATGCTAAAATTCTTTTTCTAAACACAAGTCTAAGCATGCCACAATAAACTCTGTCGTTCCCTCTTGTCTTTAGGGTTAACCATAAAATCTTCTGTCTTGCACTTAAATCTCTTAGTAACCTGGACCCTTCCTACCTTTCTAGTCTCCTTACATTTTACTCCTTTCTGTGAACTCTGCAGTCCTGTTAGTCACACACAGTGCTTCATCTCCCGTCTCTTTGCCTTTACTTGAAATGCTCTCCCTTCTCCCTTCTGCCTCTTAGTTCTCCTGACTTTTCCTTTAAGACTCACCTCTGATCCCACTTTCTTCAGGAACAGTTAGGTGGCCCAGTGGATAGAGCACTGGACCTAGAGCTGGGCCAGTCACTTAATTTCCATTTGCCTCAGTTTTCTTAACTATAAAATGGTAAGAAAAAATAACCTACCTACCTCCCCCAGGGCTGTTGTGAGGATCCTATGAAATAATATAAAGTTTTTAGCACAGTGTCTGGCACATGGAAAGCACTATATAAATATTAGTTATTATTATTAAATGAGGTAATATTTATGAAACTCTTAGCTTAATAAATGCTTGTTTCCTTCTTCTTCTAGTACCACAGCTGCTATTGCTTTCTGTTCTTGAGATTATCTTCCACCTTCTCTCTGTGTATCTCGTACATAACCAATCGAATGTGAGCCTCTTGAGGACAGGGGCTGTTTGCCTTTCTTTGTATTCCCAGTACTCACCACAGTGCCTGGCACATTATGAACATTTAATAAATTCCTGTTGACTTACTAACTATGCTTGTCCCTCACAGAAGTAGAAACAGACCAGTTTATGAGATAAATTACATGTAAACAAAGTATGGCCTACAATAATCAGACAGTTATACATATAACTCTGGGGGACTTTGAAAATGTGAGACCAGGTTTGGTTGGGTATACAGAAACTCCACACAACAAACTTTCAAAGCAACTGGCAGATCTACTAATTGGCCTCTTCTCCATTGTTGAGGCAATATGTCTAATGGGCTGCCATCGCCAGTTCACTTTGTCCATGGGCATTTATCCTGGGCTACCCTGTTCCCTACTCCGTTGTTCACAGTAGCCTTGTACCTACTAGATACGTGCTCACTGCCTCCATTTCTCTCCTCCCCCACTCCCACCCCCAGACCTGGCATGGTCAAGGACAGTAGGAATTATGTTGGGGCCATTTTTGGTGCTGGTATGATGAGGAAGATGCAGTGATGCATGAAAAAGGAGAAGGGTTAGCAGGTACTTCACATCATTCATGCCTCTGAATTGTTGAAGGACTTCTCTTGCCTCATCATTTCTGGGGCTATTGATGAGGACAGCAGTGGTATAAATGGTTCTCTAGCTGAAGAAGGCTTTGGGTGGCAGTTGGGATTAGAGAACTAATCAACACATGACCAGGCTTACTCCTGACATGAACCTGGGTGTGCAAGTTATCAGCATTCTTATTTCTTGTCTAGCCCAACCCTTCCCCTCTATTCTAACTCTTGGACCCTAAACTTTGTGCTTCTCATCAGCCCCCCTCTTGGATCTTCTTATAATACATGATTTTGACCCTTATTCCATCCCTGATTTCACTCCCCTCAGTCTGGTCCTTGCCAACTAATCTTCTAGTCAGCCAATTTTTGGTATTCATATTTTACCCTCTGTCCCTGAACTAATGTCTACATGGGATATTAAATCACTATCCTGCTTCCATGACTGAAAAGAGTTCAGATTGAACCCTGGACCTTCATCTCCTGTGGTGATTTTTACCTGGCCTTGATGGGTTTGGAATAGGTGACTTTGAAGGCCTTTTCCTGCTCTATCGTCCCATGAACTGTATAGCTACTGAACCCCTTTATAATTAATGTAACACATTATATCTTCTTTCAAACAGTTTTATAGCTGTGGAAGCTATTAGGAAACACCCGCTAAAGTTCTTATTTTCAAAATATCAAATTACTTAGAATTTTTATAACTTATCTAGATGAAGTACTAAGGCCTCTTTTTTATTTCATGTGGGATAGATTTAGTGTGTGCAGTTATTCTTCTCTGGGTTAATTCTGTATAACTGTAAGTGGGGAATTAATTTCTGCTTAGGATTTTGGGGGAAGCTAATGAGAGTGTTCTGTGACCTTCATGGGTGGGGAGATTTTAAAGGGCCTGTAATGTGAAAGGCCACTAGTGTGTTGTAGAGCAGGGGGCTCCAAAGTGGGGCGCAGGCAGAAAGTACTGAAACTTGGATATCTATTTTTATTTAAAAATAACAGAATCAAGGTCTCCTAACATAGCGCAAATGTTCTGTTACTGGCATATGCACACATGTAAAATAGTCACAGGTCACACGTAATATGGAAGATTACCTGACAGAAGGCTAGGAGGGAGTTCCACAGGGCAGGGGGCCCTCCTTCATTCACTTTTAGCTTTTTGTATTGCGTTGTAGTTTACATGTTCCTGATTAAACAGATTCTGTCACATACGTTCAGCTAATCTAAACCTCATAAGCAGACAGAGTAGTTTACAGCCTCCTTGCTGTTCCTCAAACAAGACTCCATCTGTAGGCTCCAGGCATTTTCTCCGACTGCTCACCACCATGTCTAGAACGTGTCCCTTGCCCCATCCGTCTCCCCCCAGCTCTGCCTTCTGGCTTTCCTGGCTTCCTTCAAGGCCCAGCTGAAATCTCACCTTCTTTGGGCAGCCTTTCTTACCCATCTTAGTACTAGTCCTTCTCTCTGTCGACTTTCCAATTCAGTGGCTTATTTGTACAAAGTTGTTTGTGTGTTGTTTCCCCCATTAAACTGTGAGCTCTTTGGGGGCCTTGCTTTGTACCCCCAGCACTTAGCACAGTACATGGTACATAATAGGTGCTTAATAAATGTTTATCAATGGACTAATGATATCAGTAATGCAAACATAAGCAACCAACCAACCAAGGCAGGGCTGACTGATACTCGAATCCTAATGCAATTATGAAGTCAAAAACTGATCTAATTAGAGCTGAGAAGTCAAAACTATCTAGACTATTTCTTGAAATACCAATTTACATCCAGTATGCCTAGTGATGAATCTCACCCTACTGTGTTGTGTTATGAGATATTAATTAGTGACAGTATAAAACCAAAATTGTCAGGGCATCCGAAAACCAAGCTTTTGTTGCCAACAGTGATGTAAGAATATCATATTTGCACACTTTCACAACTTTGAAACAGAATCCTTTGACCATCATTATAAAAATTTTCCAAATTTCAAGGAATTTTGAACCCATTTGTTAAAAAATATGAACGTGTAATACCTTGCAGTTAGTTTTCAAGAGTAATGGGTTGTCATAAAGGAAAATGGAAATTTTCTAGTCACATTTCAGTAAAAACCTTTACATAATCTGTGGATTGTATTGAGAAATGAGTGTTATGATTTAGTAATTAAATTTAGCCAGAAATACAGTTCTCCCATTTGGAGCTGTGTGTCTTTTGGCAAACTATCTTTTTCAGTATACTGGCCGTTAAAATCAAGAATTGAAATAGAATGAGCCTAGACCCTTCCCTTTAAATTGCTGTTTCACAGAGTGTTCAGCCAAAGTTTTTAAAAATAATCAAACTGATCAAATTGCATTGCTCTCACTAAAATATCATTTGGTAATGGTAATAATTCTGAGCAAAAACAGAATGCTTTTTGAAACTTGTTATTTTATCTTTATCTCAGCCTTTTAAAATTTTTGTGTGTTTTATAATGAAGATGGTGATGTATTATAAATTTAGTATATCAGACAATACGTTAACATACTTTGAGGATGTTCAAGTGTTTTTTACTGTTAGGGGATTTTGATCAAAAAAGTTTGGAGACCATTGGCATGTAGAATGAGGACCTGCCTCAGAGTTGGTATAATTCAACTAAACACACATCAAGCATGTAGTATGTGCCAGGTACCATACCAAGTTCTAGAAAAACAAAACGGCCCCCATCCCCAGTGATCTTAGTTTATTGGAAAGAAACAACAGATGCATGGAAAATTAAATACAAAATATGTATAGAATAATGTAGTGGAGAAAGGTTGATCAGTACAGGCTTCTTATGGGAAGCAGGTAGCATATGAGTGTACCCAAATGACGAGGGCCATGGCAAGGCAGAGGCCAGGAGCATGTGTGTTCCAGGCGAGATCATGGCACAGAACTGGGTGATGGAATCTCCTCTGTGAGGAAAAGTAAAGACAACCAATTGGGAGTGGGGGACTGATGTGCTGGAAATCTGAAGAGACGGTCTGGAACCAGACTGTGAAGGGCTTTAAAAGCCAAACCAAGGACTTTGTATCATATCCTCCAACAGGGAGTGTTCAGACCTGTCCTGTAGGGATCTCAATGGGGTAGTTGTGTAGAGGATAGATTAGAGAGGAGAGGGACTAGATGACGAGAAAATGAATTAGGAAGCCACAGAAATAGTTTAGGCCAGAGACGATGGAGGGGCCTGGCCTAGGGTGGTGGCAGTGTGAATGAGGAGAAGATGACAGTTGGGAAGTATTATGGACTTGGCAACTAATTCGATATGAAAGGAGAAGAAAGATGATTCCTTTTTCCTTGTTAGGTTTGTACCTCTCCACATGGTTTTACAAATTTATCAGTTGCTAAACTTATTTACCTATTTGTAAAAAAAAAAAATGAGGATAATATCTGCACTACCCTCATAGAATCAGGCATTTTTGAGGAAGAAGGATCTTCATCTGCCATTGAGTTTTCACTCATTGTGAAAAGTAATTCCCCCTATAACTTAATCAGCCTGCTCACTAGTGTTCGTTCAGGCCATGCTTGAAGACCTTGAAGGAGAGTGAAACCCCTATGCCCAGGAACAAGCCATTTCATAGCCTGTGTCAGGTCCTGCTTCTGATGTATGTGGGCTCTGGAACTGTGAGTCTCTCAGTGAGCTGGGCAGCTGTGTTAAGACTGGCATGAGTGTTGCGGAATCATTGATGATCTGCTTTGTCATTTCTCAACACCAGTGAAATCATACGTCTGAACCAAAAAAAGTATTAAGAACCTTTGTTTCAATTCAACTGATCAGGTACTGGGTGGGTAATTAATATGCCTTTTATCCATTGTCTCTTTCCCCAGATAATAAATGTGTAGGTAATGAGAAATGAGTTTTTCTTTGCTAATCAACTTATTTTAATTTCTTCATAATTTTGAGGGCTAGAATTAGAAACACAATGGAACTTCACACAGAATTTAATTTAGCAAACAGTGGATTACATCTTGGATTTTCTTACAACTTATTCAGTAATCCTACCAGCTGATAAGTGGAACTCAAAGCAATATAGTCCTATATAAGGTAGTACCATAGACCCTAAATACTGAGACTTAAACCAAATGAACTATTATGCTGATTCAAGTTGAAGTTTGAGAGTATTTTAATCAGTAAATTTCCTATTAAGTGATTTCACAAAATACTAGTTAACTTCGTGCACCTTTGAACCAAACAAAATTTTGATGTAGAGCCTACATATATATATATATATATATATATATATATATATATATATATATATACACACACACACACATATATATATACATATATATATATACACATATATATACATACATATAATACTACCCTTACTTATCCAGAGGTTAGAGTTCCCATAATTCTCAAACATCTGGAACGTAATCTAAAAATCTATAAATAAGCCAAAAAGGTCTCTCTGAGTACTGAAATAGCTAAATCCAGGGTAAATCATAGGAGTAAAAAAGTTCTGAACTTGGAGTCAGGAAACCTGGTTTTGAGTTCCCCCAACTATTCTTAGTAATTCATGTGCCCTTGAGCAGCAGGTCATGAATCTTTTTGAGCCAGCTTCATCATCTGTGAAGTATAGAGAAGACTACATCTACTACTCATCCCCCAGTATTGTCTTGAGGAAAGTGCTTTATACACTGTGAAACAGGATACAGATACATTTGTTGTTGTGGGAGAGATGAGAGAACCTTATGGCTTTCTTTACACATGGTTTTAAGGTTGGCAGTCTAGTTTTTCAAAAAGGGGCAAGGGAGTGTTGCCATAATACCTCATGTAAAAGAGGTAGGCAGTGTGAAAATAAAGAAAATATAAAGAGTTGGGGCAGCTAGGTGGTGCAGTGAACAGAGCGCTGGCCTTGGAGTCAGGAGGACCCGAGTTCAAATCCAACCTCAGATACTTAACACAACTAGCTGTGTGACCCTGGGCAAGTCACTTAACCCCGATTGCCTCACCAAAAAAAAAAAAGAAGAAAATACAAAGAGCTGTTTAAAATGTTGCCCATAGATAATGCTATAAATAAAATTGCTTTTTATCCTGTTTTGTAAATGGCATTGAATTATTTTTAACCCATTGTGGCTTCTCTCCTTTTAAGGCATTCCTGTCTGTCAGCAACATTTAATTTGGAATAACATGGAGCTTGAAGATGAATGTTGCTTGAATGATTATAAGTGAGTACACGTTTTTAAAAATTCTGATATTGAAGAGTAATCACACTGACACTAGTTTGTTTTTTGTTTCTACTGCTTTAATAATGCTCCCCTTCCCTGCCCCTCACATTTTTGCAGAGGTTTACAGCTCCTCTAGGCATCAGATCCAGATTTCTCACCCTAAGGTTCAAGTCCTTTTCTTCAAATACATCTCCTTTTACTTCTGTATTCAGTCTGCATTTCACTTTTTTAAAAATAGTATTTTATTTCTTTCAGTGACATGTAAAGATAATTTTTAACATTTTTTTTAAAAATTTGAGTTCTAAGTTTTCCCCGTCCCCAAAAGAAGGTAAGCAATTTGATATGTTATATATGTTGCAATCATTTGCATTTCATTTTTGTAAAACTATTTAGCCACTCTTTTTGCTAGTTCATCCTACCTTTATAACCATGCATTCCTTCTGAATTTCTTTATCTGTAGAATAAGGGGATTGGAGTGGGTTGTGTATGAGGTCTCTTGCACCTCTAAATCTGTGATCCTTTTTTTTTTCTAGAAATTTGTCTGTAATGATTTCTTGCACACAGGTAGCCAAATTATTTCCCTTTCATTGTAGTCAAAAGATAATTCCATAAAACCTTTCAGTCTTCAGCACTTAATGCTATTTCAAAGAAAAGACTCCCATTGGCTTTCTCCCTGCCAAAGCACTAACAATTGGTAAATAATACATATACTTAAAAGTCTGCATAGTGTAGTGGCTCTCGGTGTCAGTAAGATTGGCAGTCAGGTCCTGTCTCTTACATGCATTGGCTGTGACCCTGGCTACATCCCCCAACCTTTCAGTCACCCAGCTTATTCTCTAAGACCCTTAAGTTGCAGAGCTGATACTGACTGGCTTGCATTGATAGAGGAAGCTCCCTCATCAGGAGTTCCTATGCCATATGAAATTCCTGGTCCAGCACAAATAAATATGAAAGACTTATAAAAATAATATTTGAGTTTTGATGTTCAAGCAGTTGGATACACATCCTTTTATTTTTCCACCTTGAAACATATTAGTTCAAATTTCTTGAAGATAGGTCCTATGTCCAGCCAGCCAGCATGATATTATGTGTATTTTGAGCACTGAATACACTTTGGTGATATGTTCTTATGTTTTTTATCCCACAGCATTTCAGAAGGTTGTACCTTAAAACTGGTATTAGCTATGCGCGGTGGACCAATAAATACTAGAAGAGGTAGGCACAGAAAGTAAAACAATTTGAATATGAATTTTAAAAAATGTTTATTTTCACAGAATTTCAGCTTGGACACGATCTGAATCTTTGTTTTTTTAATTAATTAATTAGTTTTTAGTGATCTGAGAGTCTTTCTAGTATAACTTGCACATGAACAAGATTCCCTTGAGTCATGCTCTGCCAGTGACCATCCAGCCCTTGACAAGTTCTTCATGAAGAGTTCTAGTAAGGGGGAGCCCCCTGCCTCCCAAGGAATCTCACCCCACTCCATTTTGGGCATGATGCTTGAGTCTGCCTCTTTGTATCTTCCACCCATCGGTCCTAGTTTTGACCTCTGGAGTCAAACAGAACAAGTCTTATTCCCCTTTCTTATGACAGACCCTTGACTGTAACAAGGAAGTTAGAAAAATTGGAAGTTGCAGGGAGGAGAGAGAATTAGTTGTGTTTTAGACAAGCTGAGTTGAAGTTATACATGGTGCATCTAGTTCAAGGTACCTAATAAGAGGTTAGAGATGTAAGACAGAAGTCAGGAAAGAGGTTTTCTGCGTGTGTGTGTGTGTGTGTGTGTGTGTGTGTATATGTACATATATATGCATATTTATGTCATACATACAGACAAATAACAGCTAGAATTGAGTTACTGGGCCTGGCGTCAGAAAGAGCCGAGTTCTATCTTCAGTCGTTTTCTTGTTGTGTGACCCTGTGTCAGTCACTTAACTGTTGTTTCCCTCAGTTTCCTCAACTGTAAAATGGAGATAATAATATTTGCACCTACTTCCCAGGGTCATTGTCAGGATCCAATGAGATCATAATTGTAAAGTGATTGGCACAGTGTGGGTAGTAAATGTTTGCTTCCTATGTATCTTGTTTCTAGGGGGTTGTTTACATTTTGTCTCCCCTCATGAATGTATAAGCTGCTTGAGATCAGCTTTTTGCCTTTGACTGGTTTTTGTCTTTTGTGTATTGATGGCACTTAGCACAATGCCTGACACATAGTAAGCACTCAGTAAGTGCTTGTTGACTTGTTAGCTCTTGCCTTCAGTTTCCTTATCTTTAAAATGGGGGATTTTACTGGTTGACTTCTACAGTTCCTTCCAGCTCTCAATCTCTTACCCTTGAACATGTTCAGAATTATTGTCCTGTATTAAGGCAAGAACAGAAAGTACTGTTTGAAACATGAAACTTTTATGCATATTCCTTACAGCTTCCTGTGACTTAAGGATAAGTGTTTCAGCAAGCAGTTAGAGATTATGCATATGGAATATTTTTTGTGATTCTGAGTAAAAACGTGAATCTTCCACATAAACTGAATCAGAGCTTAATCCAGCCATACTTCAGTGTAAACCTGGCTGAGTGTACAAGTTGTGCATAGATACAGGAATTCTCCTTGATAAGCACTGAATCTTTGTACCAGTAAAAGATTACAGTTAAGAAATACCATTTTTATTCTTGAATTCATCTTTGGTTTGAGTACACATATGTTTCTCTTCTTTGAATTCTGTTTATGGTTAAAATAGTTCTCTACTATTTCACTCATTCATTCTCTTAAAGAGTTTTCTTAAACAATTTTCATTTTAAACTTAGGCCAGTTAGCAGGAAAATTTCCCCCCCAAACCTTGATTTCTACTTGAGCGCACACTAAGATTTCATTTCCTGTATGCATTGCTACTTCCACTGAAGTACCCCCTTGTGCCTGGAGATGCCCCTGGGTTCTGGAAGTCTGAGCCATCAGACTTCCTGCTTGGGCAGGCCCTACCAAGCTGGAAAAGCTGTCTCTGTTATCTGAGCACCAGCCTGGCTACATGTGAAGATGCTCAACAACGGGTTGACTACAAGGTGAGGAATTTTTCAGTCATAGCAACTCTGCTAGAGCAGTGATGACGTGCTCTGGTGGAAGCAGTATCCACTAATAAAATGAGAGAGCTCTGAGGTAATGCTCACCTTCTCTAAAGTCCCCCCTCTAGTGGCTCATTACAGAGTAGAGGTGACCCCAGATTCCAAAATGGTAGGCCATTGGACTGTATCTCTGGAACAAATTGTTGTAATGGGATTGATTATTGTATAACTAAGTATGGAAAGGCTTCTGCCAGATGGGTCAGAAGGGGGAGGGTTAGGGGGAGGGTTGTGGTGTTTGGTTGGTTGGTTTGCTTTTGTCACAATAAAATGATTAAATTATGTCCTTGAAAGATCAAAGTGAGAGGCATATATGCTAAATAAGATGATTTGTTTTTCAGAAAGTTTTATTCATGCCCTTTGCTTTTCATGTTATTGTTTCCTGCTGTCTGTCCCACCCAAATAAAAATCACCCTTGTAACAAATAAAAATATTTTTCCGTTAAAGCAATAAATGGATTTATGGGATACATACCAACTCAAAAATACATGTAGTATCTTTAAAAGATAATTATCTCTTCAATTACTGTACATTTGAAAGATTGCAACCAAAAGTCCATCCTGTTGGTTAATGGTGATGTTATCCATAGATGATGCTGAACCTAAACACTTGAATTTCTTAAAACAATTATTTTATCTGTCACAGTTTATTTGTTGTGTGAATATTGTATTTGATGGGATTTTTTCCACCATGTGCCTATAAGGCACATGGGCCCCTTCAGAGAGTTGGACAAGGAGTCTCAAAATGTATATGCTTATACTTTTTTGTTATTTTTTGGTTAGGTTTGGGTTTTTTGGAGACAATTGGGGTTAAATGACTTTCCCAGGGTCACAAAGCTGTTAGGTGTCTGAGGTTGGGTTTGAACTCAGGTCCTCCTGACTTCAGGTCTGGTGCTCTACTGACTGTACCACCTATCTGCCCTGTTTGCTTATTTAAAGAATTTAAAATAAAAGGATTTTTATTATTAGATTTTTCAGAGTATAAAATCTTCTTGCCAGCATTTGATTTTTTTTATATACATAGACTACCAGTAGAGCTACATGTAAATTAGGCTTATGACAATAACTGTTATCCATGGTCCTAGAAGCCTATGAGGGTTGCTGTCCAGGTGCTAGAAATTCAACATACTTGTAATGTCCACATACGTATCCCTGTATCTCTTTTAATGTTGCCTATGTGATCAGTCTCAGTCCCCTGTAGCCTTCTGTGGAGATTTCATCAGCATTGCAAATCTTAATAGAATGGCTTCTAGATAGAAGAACCTTCTAAGAGGATAATAATAGCTAGCAAGGATAATAACATCTTGTTGCTAACGTTACATATGAGTTCTCAAAGGGATCACGTGTGTAGGAAGTTATGGTGACCCCATTGACTAACCAGAATGTATTCAGCCTTGCATGCATGAATCCTTACTTGTCCTGTGCCTTTTGAGGTTTTTGTGCCATTGCTGTATTGCACTATGTGAATCCATTTGTCTTCTCTCTTTATTAAGGCTGGGGAAGCAGCTTCTAAGGAGGCCAGTAGTGCCAAGTGGCTGTATGTTAATTAATCCCATGTATGAGAATTAGACTTCTGATGTTAGAATTAGAGTAATCTCCAGGAAAAGGAATAGAGCACAGCAGCATCTTTAGAAATTGTGTTGATTCTTTCGAAATGAAATCAAAGCCACCCAGGTGAAATTTGGTCATTGAACACTTTCTGCCACAACATAAGAGTCGGAGTTACAACACTGGTCCTTTTGCATCATGATGCACAAAATATCCATGGTAGTGATGTGCTTTGGAGGAGCATCTTTCCAGGATCCTCACATGAAATCCCAAACCCTGGAATTTTAAGCTGGAAAGCCTTTAGACTATAAATAAAAGCTCTCCGCAGTTCTATTGCAAATCTAGCTTTTAGGTTATAGAATTCATAGAAATAATCTGTTATAAGACTTGGGGAGGGCAGTACAGCCCGTGACTTCTCTTAACTCGTTTGAAACCACCAATGGCTGAAGACCTTGGGAACAGATTCCCTTTGTTTTGCTCTGGTGTTGAGAGAATCTTTAAGACTGCCCTACACCAAAAGCAAACCCTGATAAACATCCCTTTGTACAACTTGTGGTAGCCTCCATCCCCTTCCTGTGGCCCCTTCACAGCCAATCTCTGTTTTGCATCATTCATCCAAAGGCCTTATATTCACTATTTACTAGGACATTGGATACTCTCTGAAAATACTTTGAAGAACTAGGATATTGACTGATTATTACATTTCAGCTTCATTTGCATTAAACAGGACCCTAATATGATTAATGCATCTTCTCATTTGTATCACTTTCTGCCAGGCTCTCTAAGAAAGTAAGCCCAAGTTGTGGATTCATTGCTTCTTTTAATTCCATATATATGCATCCTAATATAATGTACATGGTATGTTACTTGTTGCTTTTTACTGACTGGAGTTTACTTCCAGTGACAGTAACAGAGAAGGGGCAAGATGGTTATTAAAATTATCATCTGTACTGACTTGTCAGGCACTCTATAGTAAATAGACACTGCACTGACATAAACTTGTGTCTGAAGATGCTACCAATGGAACCTGAGAACTAGAAATTATAACTTTATGTTTCTAATTGTGAATTGTAGAGGACATTATTTGAAGGTCCCAAATGCCATAAACTTGCTTAGAGATATGTAGTAAGTACAAAAACTCATTATTTCAGTAGAGCTTCTTATCAGGTCCTGCAAGTGTATTGAGATGCTTTAAACCAAAGAGAAATTGAGAGCCTGTTTATCATTCTTTTTCCCCCTTGTAGTTCCAATGGAAGACCCTCTTAGGGAAATGGCTGAATACACGGACTCCAGTCGTGATGAGGTCTGGGAGAAGGCCTCATGCAACAAACAAGTAACCTTTTTGGTGTACCGAGAAGGAGATCAGTTGAATTTCTTCCGTGTAGTAGATAGGGGAGATGGCACTTTAACACCATTATCTGAATCCTTAAGGTAAAATGAGCTTGGAACCCTCTGCCTGCTTCAGAAAGGGGAAAGTTAGTAGAACATTAAGTTTATGATAAATCTTTTAAGTTTACCAAAATTTGTCCAGATAATTTCATTATATGGATAGATATTTTTGTTTGCTTTTGCCTAAGGGATAAAATTGCTTAAGAAATTCTAGACATATTGTCAGCTTGTTAATTCGCGTTATGTTATTGTTGGTGCTGGCCTCTTTAATCTGAAGGTTTATAATGGGCCCTTTGAAGGGTGCTTGAAAACCTAACCTGGAAATGGCTTTATTAAGTTTGATTCTTCTTCTTCTACCCCCTTATAAAAACTATGGAAAGGTTGCATTTTTAAATAATTCATATATGTTTTGGATCAGAGCATGTTACACTGACATGTAATTGTTCAGTAAAAGCTAAATTCAGCATACTTCACAAAGAAAGAATTTCCTTTTCACTGGTCTTATAAAGGGGCTCTTTTATGAACAACATATATTAAGTACCCAATAAATACTCAGTGACCAGTTGATTTCTATAACAAAAAACCTTCACTGCCCAGAAGAGGTAAGACATTTGTAGCAGAACGATATTATGGAAAGAGGCCTAGTCTTGGAGTTAGAGTGCTGGGTTCAAATCCCAGCCCTAACACTTTCCCGTGTGATCAAAAGAAAATGAATTAACCTTTTGTGCCTCTGTTTCCTTAACCATAAAGTAGAATCAATAATACACTGTCTTCCTTAAAAGACTATTGTAAAGAAAGCTCGTTGGAAAACAGAATTCTGAGAAGTTACTATCTTGGTTAGGTGTCAGTGTAAAATAAACTCTGTGGTTCATAGGGTTGAGAGTTAGAGTGGACCTTTAAGATCATCTGCCCCAAGCTTTTATCGATGCTTCCCTTGACAAGGCTCAGAGGGGTAACATGTTTTGCCCAAGGTGGTTATCCATCTATTATTTGGAAGAACCAGAATTCCAAGGATAAAACCTTGTAGTGTCAAACTTAATTGTTGAAGCCTTTTCAGAATTAGTGTATGTTATTTCTTCAGCCGTTCCAGTGTGTGGAACATAAGTGAATCTTTCTTTGATGATTTGAGGACCTTGTGTTTCTAGGATACAAGTATGAACATTAGTTATCTTCATGGTGTGTGTAAGTGTGAAAGAAGTTGGGGTGAATGTGTTCTGGCCACAGGGTGTACAAGAAGTGCATGTAACAGTGTAGAAGGTAGTATGTTAGACAGTGGAGAAGATGTGTTTTCACAGATGGCTGAAAAATGAAATAGACTGTAAATACACAGAAGGACATGAAGAAGGTGCTCTGAGAGTTATTAGGAGGCCAGGATCAATCCCAGTTAGGGTGGCCAGGGAAGGTTTCATGGAGAGGCTGACATTTGAGTTCAGCCTTGAAGAATAGATAAACTTGTATCAGGAGGGAGAAAACCTGGATGTAAGAAAAGTACGAGCAGAAGTTCAAAGATGGGAGCTTACAAAATACATTTGTTTGAGGGAGTCACAAGGAGGCTGTTTTGAACAAAAGGATGTGAGAGTGTGTGCATAAAGTCTGGAAGTGTGAGGTGTGTAGGAACTGTAATGCCAAGCTAATGAATCTTGAATTTTGTTCATGTAACCTTGTGGGGAATGGTGGAAGATATGGTCAGGCTTGGATGTTAGCCAGCTGTTCTGACAGTGGTGTGTAGGATGGCTTAGAGAGACAAAATCCTCACGACAGGGACTTTTGCATTAGTGCAAGATGAGAAGTAATGAGGAAGTTACTGTTTTGTTTTTTTCTTAAGTAAGTCCTGGATATGAGCTTATTTTCTTAACATTTCCCTCCTTAGCTTAAAACTGGAGTTTTCTTCTTGGCATCATTTTGTTTCTCAAAGCTTTCCTCTCCTTCCTTACTCTCCCCAATTAAAATCCCCAAGTGGGTTGAGAGCATCTCAGTTGCTGCATTGACAGGACGAGGGTTGAATAAGCAGCAAGGCTCTGGGGACAGGCTGCAAACCACTTGCAGAGCCTGACCGTTCTCATAGGACACTTGGCAGGGCCTCTGTCTGCAGGGAACCAACGTCACGTGAGAAGGAGAGAGCGCCTGCACCTCTTTATGCAGGCTGTGCAGTCTGACAGTGACTATGGCGGTTTGGGTCTATGTCAGCTCACGTGGACATCTTGACTTGGGCACTGGCATTGCTTTGGCCATCTGCTGGTGGGTGTTGTTGGAAATAAGACTATATATTGTTAATGCACTTAGCCTGGGGATGTCACAAGGCTGATGGTGAACTAGAAAGTTTATTACCTAAAGGCTTTTGAAAATAATTGTGACTAGATTTACTAAACTACTTCGTGTTGAATAAATTCCATCTGTTTAAATGTCAGCCTCCCATTCTGAGTCTTACTGAATCTCCATGAAAGCATGGAAATGATCTTCAGATAAGTCTTTAAAAGCCATGACGGCAAAGTAGCAAGCTGTGATCTGCGGCCTGATCAAGCACAACAGGTCGTACATGGATGCCCAGCCATCTCCTGTTTGTGCTCTATGGGTCAATAATGTGTTTTGTCCATAGTCACTCCTTAAGGCGAGGAAGGCTTAGAAGCTGCATTTCCTTGGAGCGAGCAACTGCATCAGGGAAGTCCCAGAGGTTTTCAAATATTGACATTTCTTAAAATTGCTATTTGCTCTAAAACATTAATGTAAAGTACTATATTCAATCTAAAATGGATAATAATTATGTTAAATTATAGCTGTTTATCACTTTAAAGGAAATTTTACTGTGACCTCATAATGAAACTTAGTGGTGAATCCTGTTTTGAGTAGAGTCATCTACTTTGAATAGCCAGTTTTTTCTCTTGTGGAAATAACTGAATTTTAATATTTAACATTTTTTGTATGTGTTTTTTAATCACCAGTAAGCATTTATCAAGTTTCTGCTATATCAAAGTCACTTTACAAAAGGATTCACCATGATTCCTTGAAACTGTGAGCTCTCCTAATACGCATTAGAATTATTTGATTGACAAAACTTAAATTTATACCACGAAGCCTACAGCCAGAGGGCCAAATTGGGACTGCCACCTATTTTTGTATGGCCTTGAGCTAATAATGTTTTTTTTTTATTTTTAAATACAGTAGAAATTTATTTTAAAACATAAAAGCCATTCCTAGCTCAAAGCGGGCAGTCAGTGTATTTACCCCCAGCTATAAGTAGCTAACCCCTGATTTACACACATCCTATAAATTAAGTCCACCTGTAATCATTAGACTCTTAGTCACCTACAGGTTTTCTTTGTATAACTCCCTTCAGGAAGACATATTCTTTCCTGTGTTTAGGATAGTGGGGATCATATGTGAATGTGAATGCCATCATAGCTACCTGGTCACAGCACAGCTTCCTGTTTGGAGTAGGGGAAATGTGTCATTCTCACCCAGGGTCCATTGACTTCTTTGTGTTTACAAGATGACTTCCCAGAAATGCTGCAGTCCCATAGAGGTTGTGGCCCTGATCTCTTTAATATGCGTCCTTTGGCCTTTTTGAAATTAGTACAGATTAGAGAGCTGCAAGGGGCCTTAGAAGTCATTTAATTCAGTGTCTCAATTCTGTAGATGAGAAGGCAGAATGATGCCCCGAATTAAGAGACTTGCTCAAGGGGCAGAGCCCAGAGGCAGGATTTGAGGCCAGGCCTGAATACGTGCCCAGTGAGTACTTTGTGCTGCCCTTGGTATCTCAGGTATTACCAAACGGAGACAACAGTGTCTATCATCTGGGTCATTTTATTGCTATTCATACAGATTGCATTTTATTACAAATAGCCGCTAGGGAGCATTAACTGTTTTCCACAAACTGGATCAGATTCTGAGGCTTTTCTCTGCTTTGATCTTCTTCTGAAGCCGTAGGATCCTAGTCGAACAGAACTTCGGCTGTGGGTGGTCGGCCTAGGACACAGATGTTTGTGTCAAAGTCAGCTCAACAAGAGCCACTTGTTAAATTTTCATTGGGAGCATTTATACCTCAGAAATCAGCAAATGCTGCAAATCCAAGCTTGAGTTATTGTGTTGTTGATTGTTTGAACTTAGGAAAATAATGGAGAAAATATTAATAATGCAAATTAAGCTTAAAAGTCTGTCCAGGGTACTTTTTCCCCCCAGGAGAGCCAGGGCACCTCTGGACATAGAGGTCCACAGGCATAATTTGGCCATGTTTTGTCATGACAGAGTACCAATAGTAGTAATGTCCTCTCCTCTTCACACAACTTCCTGTGAAGACCACATAAAGAGGCTCCAGCATCTGGTCATATACCTTGCAGAAGGCCAGGGCCATTTCATTAGTGAGAATAGCAGCCATGATCATGATATCTGACTAGCATAGACTGGCCCAGAAAAAGTGGTTCACCACCAAAAGTGGTTGGTGTTGTACTGGGGCGTTGCCATATGCATCAGTTCCGGAGAACAACAATGCAACCCAAAGGTCATGAGCCCCGGGGAACTCCATCGGGCCTATGTCATCTGGTCTGATTATTAAATATTCCTTCTTGCTGCTTGGAAGTGAGAAAGATTTGGGAGGGATGCCACTGTTTTCTTTTCTTTTCTTTTTTTTTTCCTTGCGACTTTGTTTTCTATTCTCATAATTGAACTTACCTTTAATCTTTATCTGATCATTTTACAGGAGTTAACCATTCACCCAAGCAGTTTTTCCTTGTTGTATTATCTTTCTAGAAAGAAGTATTTAAAGATAAGACAGGAGAGAAATATTTGTTGATAGCTTTAAATTGTTCGTGCACTCAATGTGTGTTTTGTATTATAGTTATTTATGAGCATGTCTTGTCTTCCTACTAAACTGTGAGCTCTTAAGGGCAGGGACCACGTATAATTTAATTGGTATGTCTTCCCCTAATGACCAGAACAGTGCTTTGCTTGTGGTAGGAGTTTAATAAATGTTTGATGAATGAAAGAATCTGTGTTCCTGGGTTAGCAGAGCTATCCATCTGCTTCTAAACGAGTTCTTCTACCCTGAAGATATAATGGTTTTCCTATTTGCTATCATTAGATATGAAATAAAATCAAATATGTATTTGCAAATGATATTCCTACAGTTTTTGCCTTTATAACTGTGTAGTTCATACCAGGTTTTCGACTAAGATTGTATTGTTATTCCTTGAATTTTAATACTACTTGACCTTTTTTTCTTCTTCTCCCTCTTCTTTCATTTATAAGAATTGACCCAGATCCACAGAATCAGAAGTATGTAACAAAAAAGGGGAAAGACATAGAAGTAAGAGGAGTCAAAGCACCTTGGTTCAACTCCCTTTTCCTGCTACTCATTACTTGTGTGACCTTGACCGAGTCATTTAATCTGTTGGGGTTTCGATTTCCTCATCTGTAAAATAAAGTGTTTTGATTATGTAATCACAAAAGATTCTTTAATCTACAAAGTCTATGACTCTGAACTGGCAGGAACATCTTAAAAAGTACTTGAAATTTTTATCTGTTCACAACCTAGGAAACACTCATGTTCCAGTCAAATGGATGTTGGTGACTTTGCATTTCTTAGAAAAATCTAGAACTAGATGCTTATCAAAAGGCAGCATGGCATTGTATAGGACCTCTGAATCCCACCTCTGATAGTTATTGGCTCTGTGCTCTAGGCAATTCACTAATTCTGCTTCCTCATATGTAGTCTAATGCATTGATCTTAAACTCTTAAGGTTCCTTCTGGCCTCAAATCTATGGTTTTTGATCCTAAGAGATTAGTGATCTTTATTTTTCCACTTAACATGACTTTACATCACTTAACTTCTCAAGATCTCAATTTCTTCTTCCATTTAATTAAACTATTGGGCTTAGATGCTCTTCATCTCTTCAGACTGAGAAACTTCTGTGATTCTGTTCTGCCTGATTAAGTTTGTCTAAAATTTGTCCCAAATCAGTCACTTTTATTTTTCTGAGAAGGTACTTAATTTGCTGTGTCAAAATGTTAATGATTTCATTACTTAAGTGGAGAAAAAAAAATCTTTAGTTTCTTGGCCATAAGAACCATGTTGAAAGACCATCTGACATTGTGAAAAGAAGGTCCTGTATGAAATGGAAGTGTTGCAAAACTTTCCTGGCCATGTAAATTTAATAATTAGATCTTTCCAGTTCAGTTAGACTGTATGTCCTTTATCTCCGTTCTTTTTGTTGTATTTTCAGATACAGGTTTTTTAAAAATATCATTTGGTAGGCAGAAAAAAATTTCTTTGCTCCTGATTATTTACCAGTGTGTCAAAATAAACTGGTAACATTCCTCTTTTTAAAAGAATTTTATGCTATTCACACCTGCTAAGGATCTCAGAAATCATGCTGTTTCCAAAAGAAGCCAATTTGTGGGAATGTTACTAATATTCTGGCATACTGTAGATTTTCCTGTTGGAGGGATGCAGTTTCCTTCTCCATACACATCTGTACAGTATATACCCATCCCTCCTTTTCTAGGGGCAGCAAAACAGCCTGGATTTCATCAGCAAAGATGAAACTCTTAATAGATTTTGAACTTAAACACAGACTGCTAAATGATGATTAAAAACATCTCCTTTCTGACACCACAGAATGAATCTGAACTACATAGAGGGAAAAATCTTTCCCCACCCCCTTCCCGGATATAGCTGAAACGAAAATGAGGTACATGCTACAAGCCCTGTGCCTTTATTGAAATACACAAAAGTGACAAAGTGGAGCCTTAAAGACCATTGTCTAGTTCATCCTTGATCAAGCCCACTTAGCCTGCAGGAGCCTTGGAATAGTTAAAGGGTACAGTACCAAATAAGCAGTAACAGCCATGATTCAGAAAGCCATTCTAGTCAGAAAGAACTGCTGAGATCACTTCCTTCCAAATTGAAAGCCGTATCACCTCCACTTCCTGGAAGTGAGTGATTCAACCATTTCATGCCCCTTTCTCATTTTCCTACCACTTCTACATATGTACTAATAGGGCAGTCCTCTTTCCTCTCATCTTCTCTGGGAAATTAATGAACACATCCTCTTTAGAGGTGGCATTATCACTTTGACTAAATGGAAATAAGGGAAGTGGACCGCCCAGTTTACCTCCCTTGGGTAGAAGTGAATGCTTCAAAAATATTGCCAAATGTGCCTTTAGTGGCCAATGACCACTATCCTAGTATATTCAGCCATACATGGTAATGCAATTTGCATTTGCAAACTTTTCTTGCACAGATGTGTACTCTTAAGTAGTCCTTCTAAACAAGAAAAGCATTCAAACTTGATGCCTACTCAGTTCCATTCTGGTATATTTAAAATTGAGCTATTCCTTATAAATTTGAACTCTCATATCTCTTTGTAAGTTTCCTTGTTAAACCAAACTTTATGGATTTTCCTCTTCTTTTCTCTATCCTCAGTACTGAAAAATCCAAATGGAGTTTCCCTCAGTTTAATAGTTAAATTGGGCTTGGAAGCAAACTTCTGCACAGTGAGTTTTAACCAAAGTGAAGTTTTTGGAAAGTTACAGATGAGGATTATGATGATTTTTCTTTCAAAGCTTATGCAAAACCATGACAGTCATCATCATGGGCACTCATACTATTGTTGCAAACAGTACAGTCGCCATACCTTAGTAAACAAGATGGTGTCTTTATGAGCTGTTATGCACTCCCCCGAACCACCAATAAATAAAATCACTTGGTGGTCAGCCTTCATTGGATGAGCCTTTCTCAACTTAGCTGGTCCTTAAATTATTTAGACATGTTCTGTTGCCATGTCCATACTCTAAAGCCTTTCTATCTTGACAGAATGGGCCAAAGTTTACAGTCTGATGGCATAGCATAATAAGGCATTGGAGTAATACTTTATTCCATACTCTATTTTCAGAGATCGTATCATTTAATTTGTTCTTAGAGTCAGTATGTGACAATATTTCAGATTAGTCTTAGTCCCTTATGGTTTACAAGCACTTTTCCTTAACAATCCTGTGAGGAAGGTCCATGTATTGTCCTTATTTTACAGATGAGGAGAATGGTGATCAGAGAGGTCAAGTGACTTGGCCATGGTCACACAACTTGTAAGTATTTGGGTCAGAACTCAAACCCAGGTCTTCAGATTCTTTGAATCTAGTGCTCTTTCCTCTGTTGAATACTCTCCCTCCATCAAAGCATTAAAAAAAAAAGTTTCACATTATTCAAGTTATGAATTTGCTAGGGTTGAGTTTTTTCATGCTCTAAGATCCTGGGTATTATGGGTGGTTGGTTACATATCCAAGTAACACTTAGGAAAGCCTTAAATTGTCCATCTTTTTGTTTTTTGTTTTGTTTTATTCTTAAAGAGCAAAAATAGAATGTCATATCCATACGGGTGTGTCAGTTCCTGTATTGTTTGAACCCCCTTAGGATGGATAGAAATTTGGACTTCCCTTCTATACCATTGTCTGGTTAATGGAAAACTGATCAGCCTGTGGTCTGGGTTACACAATTAACAGCTTTGGCCATACCAGCAGGAGACCCTTGTGGATTTGCCTCTATGGGAATACTATAGTGAGTGCAAAAAAAAAAAAATCACGGAGTGTAACAGAGTCCCAGAAGCTCCATTAACACTATATTTTTAGTGTCTCCACTTCATGGTCTCTATACTCATTTTAATTTTTTTTCTGTTCCCAAAACTTGCTTTTAAAAATATTCCTTTTGTTTACACAGTGGTGACAGATGATTTTATCACTATCTGTAGTTACAAGTGTGCATTGGATAACAGGATGGTTTTGTTTTTATTTTTGCAGTGGTGGTTCTGTTTATAATTTATATACAGATGATGATGAAGAAATTGAGCCTTCTCCCTCTGGGCAACAGATAATTGAAAATTCTATCACTATGAATAAAATGAAGCTACTGAAGGCAAAAATGGAGACCATGAACCTCAGTAAAAAGGTGAAGCAGTCACCACATGACCAGGCTTTTCCATTGTTTACCACAGCAAAATTTAAAAGACACATCCTATTGTTTATATTCTTTTGTATATTTTTATTTATGTTTATATTATACATATACATTTATTTATATATAATTGTTTTATATTATTGGCTTTGGTCATTTATTAAAATATCAAAAGTAATATGTTTGTAAACAGTGCTATTTTAATGTCAATATATGCTATATTTGTCATTTAAGTTATTTAATGATTTGCATGTGTGTATGTGGGTTATAGAATTATGTCTCTAAATCTAGCCCAGACCTGCAATTTTTTTTTCTTAAGTGCCTTCCTAAAACACATTTGTAATGGATTTAAATCCTACATTTTAAATGGGATGCTTACTTTCCTCTGCCTAGGGCTACTTTGCCCTACCCTCTTTCCTTCCTGTTTGTACCAGGCTGGTCTCTAGGATCCTGTTTACGAGAATAAGGTGAGAACAGAAAGACTCTCATATTCTTTGTGCTTCCCTCTCTGAGGATCCCTAAATTTTAAGACCTCCAACTTGGAACTAGACAAAGCTGTTTGCCCCCAACTCCCATATTGATATCTTTGAAGCTATCATAGCACTCTCTGTCAGGTAGAAAATCTCAGCAACATGAGGAAGTGGCTTTTTCTCCAAAGAGAATAGTAAGGTACTTAACATGGCTACAGTAGATCTTTCTCTGTATCTAATGTGACCACATTTTTAGGAAAAACAAGAGTCAAGATCTTTAAGCCTCTCCATGTGACTCAGTAGAGTACCTGATGAATTGGCCTCTTAGAGGTCACCTAATTCATCCCTTAGCCAATCCAAGGATGATTTTTAGGCACTTGAAATAGGTAAGATGATTATCTCACCCAGTCCATCTACTTCCTATCAATCAAAACAGCATCAAAATGGTTTAAAAGAAAAATGCCATTTTCTCTACAAATTTTTAAAATAAGAGATTCCATTGTCTTTGTGATATAATCCAAACTGCAGTAGGTTAGAATATTAATATCTTTAAACGTTAATTTGAGGGATCAGCTGATACAAGCTGATAAGGCACTTCTTTCTTGAATTATTCTTGCTAACTGGACAGAGATAATAACCATGCATGTACAGATATTATAATTTGAATCTTTTCTTGTAGCCTAAGAAAACTGTCAAGATAAAACCTCGTCCACCTATGGCTCCTCGACCTTCAAGTGGTTCAATGGCAGCTGCTCGTCACAGATTGTTCAGAGTACTCCCCCACATTGGACAGTCTTGTCTGCCTCCACCTGGGAATTCCTATCCTTCTGAGCCTTCCCAGAATGCACTTTCAGCCTTGGCTACTTTGGCCACTACCAGTAGACCTATACCATCTATCACTACTGATTTCCTTAAGGAAGATAATAATTGGGAGAGCACCACACTCTCCCAGTCAATCAGCAGCATTAAACTACCAGCCAAAGTATCTCATGTTGAATTAGAAAGCACCAAACAGTCCATCCCTGATGCTGTCCTTCCTCTTGTGTCATCTCTGTCCACACAGACAGAAATGTTTTCAGAACATTTAATATCTAAAACAGAGGAAGACACTATCATATTTCCAAATATGGAGTTGTGTGCCACTGAAGAATCTCTTTTACCTGAAATGGATGTGTCTGCTTTGTTAGCAGAAGGAAATGTGGTGGAACAATACAGTGATCTGGATAGCACAGAGAAGGTAAACCACGACCTTGTACTGACCGATGGGGATAAAGATATTAAAACTGCAGAGCAGCATCATAAGCCTGTTGCAAGAATGTTGAACTCTGAGACCATGGAAACTTCGATTCTGAACCCTCGTGAATTAAGCCCACAGAAGAACAGGCTTTTGTCACCTCTTCAGTATTCTGCACCAATAACACATCACAGTTCTCTAGTGAAACCACAGAGACAGTCCAGATGTTTTGAGACTGGTAGCCTCAGGTCCCCTGCCTCACAAAATGTGTTTCGATCGTTGGATGTCCGAAATATAGCTGATCCTTCCTTTCCTAGGACTACTAGATTTCATGGTGTTAAAGTTGACTCACCTGGTAAAAGATCCGATATTATTTCCAAAGGCGAGGCTAGGGACATCACAGAAATGGCTAACAAGGCATCCAAAGAGCCTGTAGGTTCTGTAAACAACATAGGTTTTCTTGCTTCACTGGCACGAAGTGCAAGCAGAGACAGTTTACAGAGCTCATGTGGGGCCAGCAGGCTTCGGACTTCTGCCATTGTACTGTCTACAAATCTCAAGCATTTTCAGGAAGAAGGCCTTAGAAAAAGCTCTCCCCAAATTGAACCTGCTGACTTTTTTCTAGTAAGTATTGACCTTCCGAGTGTTTTTCCCTCCCTCCTTAATTTGCATAAAGAGTTGGGAAATATATTAATTTTTTTTTGAAATATATTAATATTATAATTGAATGAGGAGGCTTATGGTTAAATTCCAGTTCAATAATATCAAGCTATGTTTCTTTATGAGGTTATTATATTTTATTCTGTTTATCAAATTTAACATTATATAATTCAATATAAAAGAATTCATTTACTTTTATTCCATTTCAGGAACTTCCTTTTAGGTCATCACATTTCAGTATATCTAGTTATTAAGTGTTTTAAAAAATAAAATATAAGTGCATTCATAGATTTGTTCTTGGTTAATTTAAATTAAATACGTTTGGAACCTTAGGGATAGTTTGGCTACATTTAACTTTCATGGGTATTGTTTTGTTTTTTAAAACCTGACAATTTTGTAAATATTAAATATTTACATAAAATATTGGTACTTAATGTTCTTTCCCCTTACCATTGATTCACTTTTGTAGATGTTGTTTTGTTCTTTAATTGTAGTCTACCCATGGGCTTGGAATGAATGGAAATAATACATCATCAGGGAAAAGAGTAGGTAAGCAACTTAAAGAGAATTTAGAGGAAATTATAAGGGTATAATTCTGTCATATAATTGAATGAGCCAAGTAGGAAGAAAACATCCCATAGCATGGCAGGCTAAAATTATATATTTGTTTGTATTCTTCACCTACCCACAGTCTCAAGAAGGAGCAGGGGGGAGTGTGGGTACAATACAAAATAAATAAGCCCCTGTCTTCAAGGTGCTTTTAATCTATTTAAAAAGATAATACAAAGGAACAGTGTGAGTGTTGGTTCCTAAACTCAAATCAAGAGGCAAACTAGATGCCTTGGAATACAAGGGGTCTCCCCCACCCTCAAAAAGTGTACACACTGTCCGCCCCCCCACTCCCATGTCCCACCCCACAGCGCTCTGGTCCCCCTGGTCTGCCTAGTCCAACATAGAAGTAGGGAAGCTGTTTGGGTTTCAAGGACAATGTAGTCACAGCAAACCACAGCGGTGGTGGTGGTAACTGGCAACAGTAATGTTGAAAAGATGGTTTGACCAGTCATCAATCACTTCCTGCCTACCTGGGAATTCTAGGGAGCACAGGCTGAGTGGTCGCAGGGGAAAGCAAGTGACTTGTGATACACCATACTCTAAGCCACATGTGGCCTCAAGGCCACAGGTTCCCCACCCCTGCAAGCTAATTTTGTTATTGTGATCATCATTTTTGTTACATGTCAGTGTTGCTACTTTTTTTTTTTTAAGTGAGGCAGTTGGGGTTAAGTGATATAACACTGTGCCCAGAGCTGAGGCAGTTACAGAGGTTTTTTGAGTCACAGTCTCTTCCTTCAGAGCTTACAGGCTGGTAGAGGGATAAGACATGAACACATACAACTTATAATACACAAAAATGTTAGAAGCATATTGGATTTGAAACAGTACGACATGAAGTCAAGAGGGAGAGTTGTTAGCAGCTTTTCAGGCAAGACTTTAGGAAGAAGGTGATATTTGAGTTACTTTTAAAAATAGGTAGGAATCTGACATGGGACTAGAGGGAAGGACAACATTTTAAGCCTAAAGAATAGAGGCAGAAAAAGTCCAGGGTGTGTTTGGAAAACAAAGAAGAGTCTCCTTTGGCTGGAGTATAGATCACGTGGATGGGGGAAGCATATGAAATATGACTAAAAAGGTGGGTGCTGGGCACCAACTGCTCAGCAGAGGAGTTTGAACATTTGAAACAACAGAGAGCTAGTGAAGGTTTTTGAGCAAAGAAGTGAACATGAACAGTTCTATACAAAGTCTTTTCATTCATGACTGAAAAACTGGATAATTAAGCCTTCGTTTATACATTTAGTATTTGTACATAAGATTTTTAATATTTTGGATATTTTATGTATCTCCCACTAATATCAAAATAACACTTTCTAAATATGATGTAGATAAGTTAGAATAGTCATATGTTGTTCAATGCTGTTGTCTCTTTATAAAAGTCCTATTAGCACGTAATTCAGGTTATGCTTAAGTGTTGTGATAGTAAGATGGATTAAATGAAGCTGCTTTGTTTCATTTTATAAGATATTTGATAAATCCTTGTTTCCATCAAAGTAATTTACCTCTTAAAGTAATATGTTTGTATTGTTTATTTTAGAAACATTTAAAGTTAGGGCATTATTTTATTATAAATGGAATTTAACATCTTTATAATTTATTACCAGCTCTGTCTTCTCCCTGCCTCCTCTCTCAACCCTCTTACTCCCTCCTTCAGCTCTGAAGTCAAAGAACTTGGTTCAGATCCAACCTCTGGCATCTCTTTTGGACCTTGGCAAGTTCCTTAACCTCCCTCAGCCTCAGTTTCTCCATTTGTAAAGTAAGGAAATTGGACTGAATGGCCTCTGAGATCCTTTCAGCTCTAAATTTATAATTCTGTGATCTCCCTAGCCCCAGCTTCATCCTTACCCCTTCCCTCTCAGCTTCTTCCCATGCCTCTTACTGCAGAAGAATAGGAATTCTTTGAGAGCTGAGACTAGGTTTTTTGCTTGTGGTTGTGGTGGTGGTGTTGTTTCTGTTCTGCGTACCTCGCACCTAGGTGCTTGCAAAGTTCCCTTACAGGGGATGATGACAGCATTTCATCCTGCTCCCTCTGCCAATCTCCTGGTTTCTGCACGTATGGACGAAGCGAAACATCATTCTGTCATGCTCCTTTTACTGGTCTCCTGGCCAGGCTTGGCCTGATCTGCCTCCAGGGAAAAGATAAAACCCCAATTCCATTGGCTTCCCCCACTGTTCCCTTTGCTTAACCTGCCTAATACTTTGAGAGGACTCCATGCTGAGGCCAGACCCGTAAGGATGTTGATAATCCATCTGAACTCTTTTGTCAAAGATTGACAGGCTTCCACCTCGCCATACCCTCCCCATTCCAGGAATTCTGAACCCCTGCCCTGGCTGTATTAGTCAAACCCTATTCTTTGTCCCCCACTGCTTTGTTCCCTTATTTTCATCCTCCTAGTCATCTAGACTTTCAACCTAAATGTCATCTTCGACTCATTACTCTGACTCCACCGTTTTCAATTTGTTACCGAGTCCTGTTGATTTTATGTTATTAATATCTTTCACATGTGCCGCCTTCTTTCCTCTGACATTGCCAGAAATCTGGGACAGCCCTCGTCACCTCATGCCTGTACTATTGCAGTAACCTGCTGATTGGTATCTCTGGTGCATTCTCCACTAAAGTACAGGCCTGAACATGTCACTTCCCTGTTCAATAAATTCCAGTGCCTCCCTGTCACTTCCAGGATCAAAATATAAAATTTGGCATCACAGCCTTTCATAACCTGGCCCACTCCTGTCTTTCTTGTCTTTTTACACCACCTGCCCACTGTACTCTTTGACCCAGTGACTCATGCCTCCTTGCTGTTCCTCCATGTCCTGATTGCATGAATTTTCCCTGACTGTCTGTTCTCCATGCCCAGAATTCTCTCCTTCCTCATCTCCACCTCTGGCTTCCATGTGGGAAACCTTTCCCAACCACCCCTACACACACACATAATGCCAGTGCATTCTTTCTGCTGATTAACTCCAGTGTATCCTATGTCTTACTTGTACATAGTTTTTTCCCCTGTTAGACTATGAGCTCCTTGAGAGTAGGGGCTATCTTTAGCTTTTTACCCCAGTACTTAGCATAGTGCCTGGAACAGAGTAAGTAGACACTTAATAAATGCTTATTGACTGATTGAGGAATGAATATTTAAATTACTGAGAAGGCTGAAAGCTGTTTATAGGGCTCTTGTTTTGCTCATGTTAGTTCAGTGATCTCTTAAATTCTTTCTCCTTCATGTTTTCTGAGTCACTTGCTTTTGATATGATACTTTACATTTTCTTTTATTTTTCAGTCTTCTGACTTTATCATTTCTTGTTGTTATCATGGAGTTATTAACTTTATTTCTCTATCTTTCCTCCATAGCTCTCAGTTATTTTCCAATTCTTTCCTCTTGTTTCATTTATAAAATCATTTTTAAACTCTTGATTTATTTATCCCAGGAATTTTCATTGAACTGATACTAATCTGGGTTTTTCTTTGAGGTTTTGCTTGTCGGTGTTTTAGAGTCATTCCTCTCATCATCATAACTCTTTATGGAGGAATTTTTTATTTGTTTATGCCTTCTTCCCACCTTAGTCTCTCTCCAGCCCTTCTGGAGAGAATGGTTGAGTTGTACGTGATCTTGTTTTGTATTCTTTTGGGTCCTGTTACTGCTTTCTTTGAATATCCAGTTCTGTGTTCTTGATGAATCTCAAGTGAGCTTTCATTGCACCTACAGCTTTCTGATAAAGGACAAAGGACAAAGTCTGATCACTGTCTTCCTGGTTTGAGGTTTGCAAGCTCCTAACCAGAGTTAGGTCTGAGTAACACAACTGAGGGCTTGCCCCTGGCTGGCGCTGCAGTAGACTGCTGCTGGAGCCAGCCACTGTAAGCAGGCTCTACATGTTACCCTTTTGTCTGGTTTGGTTACAAGCTTCAGACTGGGCTACGGGCAGTAGTTGAAACCTTGCTTCATTCTCAGGTTCAGAACCCCACAGATGTTCCTTGTCCAGTACCCACTCTCAAGCCCTGACCATTCCTTGCCCTGGAGTACAACTCTCTGCTCAGGTCCCAACAACTGTCCTTCACCCCTGGGGGCAGGTACCCTCTTCAGTCTACGCTGGATCTGTGACCCTGCTGTGGTGAGTCTGTGATAGAGCTGCTGATTGCCCTTGTTCCTGCTATCTGCACAGCATGCAGGCCTCTCTGTGCTACATCTGGGACCTCTTCTTGCCCTAGTACACAGTGGCAGGTCACAGTTCAATCCTAACGGAAGGCTCATATCTTCCTAGATAGGCCTCATCCGCAGTTTACACAGAGCTTTGTCTCCCTGTGCCCTGAGCTGTAAAAATGACTCACTGTGGTTTTTCCTTAGGATTTCCCAGTTGGTACTTGTGTGTTTTCTGGCTCTTTGTGGGTTAGGTGTGAAGGAGATCCCTACGACTGTACTGCTTCCTCCCTCTCTGCCATCTTGACTGGGCTCTTTCCCTGTTACTTTTGAGGGCTCCACCGTCTTTGCAGGCACCCAGGTGTCATTCTCTGGTACTCCCTCTCACTCACTACACATAACAAGTGTGTTATAACAAGATCTTGTTATTTCTTTCTCTGTAACATTTCTTGCATATGTCTCCTCCCCTCCGTTTACACAGCCACCATCCTAGTTCACCCACTTACCTCCTGTAGCCTGTTTTATTGCAGGCAAGTCTTCTAGTTGGTCTCCCAGCCTCATCTTTCCTCATCCCCACTCAAATCCTTCCTCTAGTCAGCAGAGTGCTCTTCCTAAAGTGTAAGAAAATGGTCAATGAACTCAGTAAACTCCAGTGGCTCCCTATTACCTCCAGGTTCAACTATAAAGTCCTCTGTTTTCATTTAAAGCCCCTTCCTAACTTCCCAACCCTCTTACATTCTATCCACCCATACTGGCCTACTTTCAGTGCCTCACAATGCTCTGCCTCCCATCTCAATGGCTTGGCAT